TATATGCATATATACACAAAATATATATATATATATATATATATATATATATATATATATATATATATATATATATAAAAATGGAAGAACAGTAAGATATATAATCCGGTGTTCTTATAGATATTTTATTTTTACAAAATAGTGCTCAATGTAAATTCTACGGAGCAGTAATATTATAAATTAATAGATTTAAACTATGTTTTTTTTCGCTACACAGTTCTAACCATGTTTTAAAAATGGAAGCTGAAAGCTCCGAATTTAATTTTGTAATTAAATTAAAGACATTAGTTCCATTTCATCCTCAAGCGATTTTTTTTTTTTTTAAGTATTTCCGATCTCCTTCATGGTCATCCTTTGGTATGAATTACGAAGACCAACATTGTATTGATTTTCTAAGCGTTGCTTATATGTGGCACAAGGCGAATGTATGGGGCACCCAATGAGGATCGAACTCACTATTCAGTCATAACTGTTTTAGTGAGACAAGCTTGCTAATCTTTACCCCACGCTGAGGTGCGCAAATGATTTTCTAAGCGTAGCTTAGATGTGGCAAAAGGCCAAAAGTATGGAGCACCCAGTGAGAATCGAACTCACTACTACTAATTATTCGAGCAAGACAAACTTGCTAACCATTACACTACGTCTTGACGCCCTAAAGGCCAACTTATTGTTACTGTCATCGTTGTCATCGTGATTTTTAAAAACATGTATGAACACGCACTGTCATAATTATTTTAAAATTTTAATTCATCCGTTGTAGCTATGGCATTTTTGCAATGCTTTATTAAGAAATCTGACACTTCATTTATCGGATACAAGTGATGTTGGACAAGATCTAAAACACACATTCCTGTCCACCTTCACGATACATAGGAAAATAATTGTTGATACACCAGTATACTATGCCACGAAAAGAATAAACGAAAACTTCAAATTCTCGAAACCCTCTATAACAAAAGCGAAAAACCAACACTGAACAAAATTTATTCCGAGTGTAATAGACATGTCTTAAAGTGCCTTAAACAAAACATTTAATGCCATTTGCATTTCTACCAATTTTATCATATATATATATATATATATATATATATATATATATATATATATATATATATATATAAAACATATATAATCTACTGACAGACTGTTTTGTATAACAGTTCATCGGTGTGGCTAGACATCCAATTACCCCAAGCCAAGATCGAAACCCGCCCAATTTTGCATCAGTCCCCTAAGCTATCAGCTCCGAGCAGAGAGGAATGTGAATTTTAACGTATTTATTTTGAATAAACACGCCAGTGATTCAGTTGGCTCGATTCAGAGAAGAGATTTGCATTATCAGCAGAGCAGTCAGTGTTTACAATTCCACACTTTCTCTCTAAATCGCTCGACCGAATTATATATATATATATATATATATATATATAATTTTACGTTATATTAAAATTACAACATTGGCTGTATGAAAAAAAAGAATACAATTTTCAAATAAAAAAAAAAGACAAAATGAAGTTATAATTATCCTGATGATGCGGTTGTTGAAACCTAGGAAAAGAGGTTCTGACCCTTTATATATATATATATATATATATATATATATATATATATATATATATATATATATATATATATATATATATAACTAAACTCGTTTCGAAAAACCCTCGAACTTTTGATTTGCTAATCAAATCAATCTCGAGGAAAAAAACAAACATGAACTTCTGCCGACAAAAAAAATCGCACAGATGCAAACTTTCCCTGACGATCCGTTTAGGTGAAACCTAGATAGGTTTGTCTGGCTCACTAGGTGTATCTATATCTATATATATATATATATATATATATATATATATATATGTGTGTGTGTGTGTGTGTGTGTGTGTGTGTGTGTGTGTATGTGTATGCGTGTGTGTGTTCCGATTGGCTCTCTTATATAGGAACGCGTGTTTTGACAAAAAATTACATACAACGGAGAATCGTTAATAATCTTTTTTTCTTTAAGGTATTACATTGTTATGGACACGTGGCTACACGAGGGGTTAGAACGTTCCAGATGTTCCAAAGGTCGATCCCCGCGTGAGGCACCTTTGGAAAGTGCCTGAAAAACATACCACGGATTGACCCTAGCCTAGACGGAAACCCTGGGGGCAGTCGGTAGCTGTGCTAACACGAAGTCACAACTCATCCTGGTCGATGCATTGAGCATGCTGACCCTGTTTAAATTGTTCATTATCGCTATATAATACGCTCTTTCCCAGAAACTGTAACTAAGGCCTGCTCAGCATAATTGTAGTATGACCCACAGGTGGGCTCTGTGGGTGTTGAAGAAACACAAATGCGCCTTAGCAAGGGTCTAGTACACGGGTATCCTCGAATAAGCGTGGCCGGCAATACATTTCTTTATTAAATTTATTTTATTTCTAACAAGCTTCATTATTTTTAAGAACCTTGAAAACAATAACATTGATGATAGGCACCTTGGTTTTGTTTTGTTTTTTCACAATTGAGACTTTAAATAGCATAATACCTATTAAACTATTTTCAACATGACCTCAAATAGAATAATAGAGCCAGCGTTGAATATATTGAATCTTTAGTGATGGTGGTGTTGTTTTCTGTCGATTTTAAAGCCGCCTTCACTTATACCGAAAAGTACTCACGCTTTTTTAATGACACAAATGGTTCTAATAAAAGGTTTTAAAAAATAGACCAATCTCAGCGTAACAACATATCCAATTTAGCTTGCAAGCAACAGAAAACCTCCTCCCCAGAGACCAACTGCCACTTCAATGTTGATCAACAAGATTTTTTTTTTTTAATAACATTTTAAAGTCCAACCCAGGTTTTTCTTCTATTTATTGTGTTACCATGCTTCGTAAGTTCCTTGGAAAAATATGCTTGGCTGGGAAGTGAATTACGAGTGTTAATTTGATATGGCCAGTGGTTCTGCTACATCTGTTATTTAGGTAAGGGGGACAAATAGCAACAAGCAAAGAATGAAAATGGATCGCTTGAATATTGAAGTAAAAATAAGGGAAAAGTAAAAGGAAAATTAAGCGTGACGTCAAATCGTTTTTGGGTGAAAAGATGTTGAAGTTCTTAGTACGTAGTTGTAAGATTTCTTTGGGTATATATTTGAAAGGTTATAGCAATGTATAATAATATATATATATGGGATAGCGATATATATATATATGATAGCGATATATATATATATATTAAGAAATGGACAAAGTCCGACAATTTATTTATTAAAGACATTTTTATGTTTAACGTTTTTTTTTTATAGATACAAGTATTTAAGTAAATGCTCTGTTTATAATAAACAGTATTAAATAACATTTACCGGCCTGAATGTCCAAGAAATTTTCATAGAAAATATTCGTCCTTTGACAGGATTCGAACCTGCATCCTATACGGAACGGTCATTTACCTTGTCATTTAAAAAAAGAGAAGCCACAAGACGTGCCTTAACCGGTCGAATTTACTGCTTATAAACTTCAATCTTCCATGAATCTCGTACATTCATAACTGCTCTGGCATATCAAATGTAAACAAATGACGTCATATATTAAGAAATGGACAAAATCCGACAATTTATTTATTAATTTGATATGACATTAAATATTTAATATACGGTTCCGTATAGGATGCAGGTTCGAATCCTGTCAAGGACGAATATTTTCTATGAAAATTTTTTGGACATTCAGGCCGGTAAATGTTATTTAATACTGTTTATTATAAACAGAGCATTTACTTAAATACTTGTATCTATAAAAAAGAACGTTAAACATAAAATGTTTTTAAAATATATTTATATATATATATATATATATATATATATATATATATATATATATATATATATAACAATCAGGAAAAGAATTATGATAATGTGGAAAAAGTTTTCGTATGAAACATTTCATCCTTCAAGTGGTTGTTTCTTGCTGGCCATTTGGATCCACACCGTCCCTGTCCACGTTCTGTCCTTTCAATGAAGATCGAATGTCGTCGGTAATTCGGAGAGAGCGCTGGTTCGAGCCACCGCGAAGCTGTATTATGAAAGAAATAAAAATGTTCTCGCAGACGAAATAAAAACGGAAAATTCATGAAGTTAGTTTTAAATTGGTTTATATCATTCTTGATACAAAAATCAACTTTTTCCTCTTTAAATTTCTATAGTGAAACTTGCTTTTTATATCTTAAAGTCCAGAATTCTCTCGGCAACAGTTCACGCGGGGTTTTGGTAGCAGTTCATCCGCTTTTCGCGTCTCTAACACTCTGAAAACTCTGGTTGTGTCGCCAATGCGATTTGCTTATAGTAGGTCCAGCTTAAGACTGGCGTGTATTCGACTGGTCTGCGGTTTTATGATAATTCTCCAACTTTCGGATTTAGTTGCAGGTACGGCCCCGCCTTCAAAACTAATACATTATCTTATTTTTCCGTCGCACTATTACCTCGAAATGGACGTAAATTTTCTCTTTTCTCCTCCGCTCTTAGTATTCCATCTCAGACATCCTCACGTAGAGGTTTTCACTCTCTTTTTGATAATTTTAATTTTAAACTGAGAGGGCGAAAAGACGGTCTAATTTTAATCATTGATTGGAATGCACAATTATGCTGTTACACTATTTGGACAATTTTGCTGTTGCACCCAGTATATATATATATATATATATATATATATATATATATATATATATATATATATATATATATATATATATATATATATATATATATTTATAATATAGTTTTAATGCTATAATTATGGATTAATTCCTTTAATTCTACCAGTGTCACTTAGTGTCAGATTAATGATCAAATCTTACTAATTAACCCATACCTAGTGGGGACAAGAGGTAGATTCATACCTTTCACATGGATATTTGTGCTTAAGTGAATATAAGGAACCCAACTGGAATTGGAACTCGGTTAACCGATTTACAATTCCGAGCGATTATCCATTGCACCACCCGCAAATCCAATCTTGCCGTATCTAGTATTAAAAAACGGTCACCCATCAAGGTACTGACCAAGCTCGACGTTGCTTACCTTCGATGATCATATGGGAACCGGTATTTCACCGTGATGGGGCTGTAACTCGTTAGAGGGCTATTAAGTTTAAGAGGCACAGTTTATGCGGATATATGGGGAAGATAACGATTAAACCTCGTCTTGATTACGTTGATATTGAAGTCATCGGGGAAACACGCTTTTGGGAGAAATCGTTTTCAAAAAGAAGCAGTTGGTGGGGGGAAGCTGCACGAGTGGAACTTAATTTCACCAATGAAATACGAAGGGAATGAAATTGGTTCGCTACAATGTGCGTGGCATAGTTGGTCTTAGCCGTTAAGACCCAGAACTGTTGGAACACAAGAATGTAGTTCGGCTGAACACTTTCCATAGAAATAGCGAAAAGGCAGCGAGAGTTTTGTGACGTCTAGTTTTGAGAGAGAAGTCACAGTGTGGACAATAATTCATCACCCACAAAGACGCTGAAACGCTTTTGCGCTCTATGTCAGACAAAGAAAATTAGATTAATTTTTTATTTAGCATTTCCAGCGTTCTTACATTTTTTCGGTTAGGTGGGAGAATGGAGTTAAAAAAAAAAAAATTCATATTGTCCATTCTCCCAGGCGCTTTCGTTCACTGGTTTACCCCTTTTTAAGTGGAGTTGTTTTAGTTGGTGGTAATTTCTTTTCATATTTTGTTTATTTTAGATTACTTTTTTTGCGTTATTTTGAATATTAGTAGGTGCATTTATTCCGAGTATTTGCGTGTTGAGCGTGGCGTCTTTCTATTTAAAAAAAAAACCAAAAACTTTCATCACTCCATTCCCACTGTTAAATAAGTTGAGGTTGATAGTAGGAGAGAGATGTTTAATATACAGGGCCTCTCTTATAGCGAGATGCTTCCGCTAATATGATTTGTATAACATTTTAGTGTTTTCGAACATAATTGTTCTAAAGGGTTCTTGTAAATTGTAGGTAGATAGATGTTTTTTTATTGCACTTTTATCCGATAAGTGACACACGGGGCGTCTACTTAAGGTGGTAGTATATCAGATACAGGTGCTGTATAAGCGTTAGCTGGTGGGCTAAATATAATGATATACAAGCCAGAAAGAGTTTATTTGGGAGTGAAAGTAAACTATTGAACACAAAATCAACGATATACTTGGATACACCGGGTAACATTACTTGCATTAAATTTTAGATTATACTCCTTAATCCCGTGTGGTTTCAGTTTTCTTAACTTGAGTACGTTGCACGGAAGAACTCCGAACACATACACGCGCACACACACACACGAGCACACAAACACATACATATATATATATAGTTTTCGCTATGTACAAGAATAAAGTTGGATTTCGGAACAAGCATCCTTTGTTTTGTGTTCTTTCTTAATAATCCTATTTTTTTTTTCCTTTCCAATTCCGTTATTTTTGGTATTTGTAAAAGCAAGCTTTCGGATAAAACGTCCTTAGGAACCAGAGTCAAGGAACATGTCATTATCGAAAGAGTGTAACTCTCAATATATTTAATGGAGTCATACAAAGTGTGGCCAAAAAAAAAAAAAATCTTAAATGTCAATCTTTATTTCTCAATTGCTGTTATTAACTAATTAATAATCAATCTTTTTGCATTTCCGCCCGTCGCATCGGATGAATAATAGGCAGTGGCGCTTATTATCATCCACAGTCTTCCTTATTTTTTCTCTTGTCGACGCACAAACAAGAATTATAGACATTATCCAGCTTACCGTTTTACACTGAAAGCAATTGAGTGCATCGAGTCGGGAAGCAGTTATTAAAAACCAAACGTTTGGTCATTGAATAATGCTGGGATTAACTCTCCGTAATCCGCTGATAAAGAAAACTTTTAAATATCTGAGGTACAAATACAAATATGATCCTTACACAGAATTTACTTGATTTTTCTGTATTCTATTCTTATTATTTCTTAATAAAAAAAAGTAATTTCCATTCATTGTTTTGTCTGTTTTATTCTCGTATTTCCGTAATTTGATCTGATTATATGCAACGGAGAATTATTATTATCTCTTGTCATATTCAATTCATTCGAACAATTGTCCTCTTTGTTAACATTACAAGGATTATTATAGACACAGCATTTCGGTCAAGTACGCTATGGCCATTCTCAGGTGGCAATTATTTTGGTTGATACCTGATATTTTATATGTATCATTACTTGTGCTACTTTTCTCCGTGTGAATACCTTAATTTTTCGTTTCTGCTGAAATACCTACGTGTATTTTACTATCTGATCCAAGACCTGATTTCATATCTGCTAGATAATAAAACACTTGAATAACCAATGTCTTTATAAACTATGAGAAAGAAGAGAATTGAGTGGGGCAATTTTGGTGTCTTGACATCTAATGTCAGATGGATACGATATTTGCTTATTATGACTGATGCATGCCTTTTTCTTATAATAAATTATTATAAATAAATGCAGCTAGATATTTTTATAGACACCTCGTTTCTATAAGTGCCGTCAGATGTTTTTATAGAAACTTCGTTTCTGCAAGTGTCCGTCAGATGTTGTTATAGACGCCTTGTTTCTAATAGTGTCCGTTAGATGTTATAGACAACATGTTTAACCAGATGACAACAACACTTGATTAATCAATATTCAAAACGCAATTTTCCCGAATGACATCAGAGGTAAAATTTTGGAGTCGGTAATTAAATTGTCTTGACATAGGTTTATCGCAGGTTTGTACAGATTTTTGATAAATTGTGATTGTTTTTTTTTGTTTTTTGTTTTTTTTTTTTAAAAGGAAGAATTGTCAGAATTACTTATTCGATTTATTTAAACTGTTTTCACATCTTTTATTGTTAAGGAACTTAATGGATTATGTCTCTCCACAATTTTCTCTCAGTTGTAACTTATAACAAGGGATTTCTTTCCTTACCATTGTTTCGGGGTTTTTCTCTGCCATCCATTTTCATAAGCTCATTAGGCAAAGTACATGCTATTTCCCTCTTCCCCACTTGCCTTGAATATGCCATGTGAGTTTTATAATCCCCAAGCCTCCTTTTTGTGAATTGGCTATTTAAGCATTACTGTTCAATACCTTGATCGGCTAGTGAACTTTATAAAATCTCTCTTAATAGGAACAGACAAGAAAAGCAGTACAGCGAGAAAAAAGTACATGATAATCAACACATTCAAGTTATTTCCTATCAGCTAAAATAAATAAATCCTGAAGATGGTCAGCAGGTATTTGGCCGAAATGCCGTGACTATAATGACATAAATAACAATCAAAGATGAGAAAAACCCCACAAAAAATAGAAATTATACATATTTTCTGATTATTTCAATAAAAACGAACAAAAATTTTAAAAAAGTTCTTTTTTGTTTATCGATTTCCCTCATTATGATAAATATAGAATTTTTCGTATTCATTCCGGTTGTTTGATTTTAATATGTCCATTTTTTTTATTGCAATTATTAATATGCAGATGTATTGTTTCATTGCTTGCGTTGAACATTAATGGGGGCGTATTGATCGAAGCCAAGTCCTGAGTTGGCCATCACCAATGTTTACTACAGGTCCCTTATATGTTACCTTCTCGACAGAATCATTTCGAATCGCAAATCCTCCGCCTCCGAGTAATGTTTCAACAGTACACTAACACATATCACCATTAACGAATTCTATAAATGTTGCCATTCGCTATGTTTGTAATATTGGTGATGTTTATTTTTAAATTCATAAAATGATGCCCATGAAAATCACGGTGAACTTTGATCAGCCCATATATATTGTTTACATGTGCTAATCATAAATGCTTTCCAGTCGAAGCATCAAGAAGACGTATTTCAGACTGAATGCTTTTGAGCAATGCATTCAAGAACTTTTTTTAAAAAAATCAATTCACAAGAAGCAGGGTGATAATGCCACTAAGACGCAAGGGAATAGTGGAAGTGAAAGAGTATGAGAATACTTTAGAAGGAATCGGAAATCCAATCTTAAACAAGAAAAGAAGGGATAAACTTCTACATTCAAAAGACCGTAGAGAGGAGACCGAACAGGGCGATAGGCATACATATCCACTCCTACTGAGCAGAAAATAAATAGTAAATAAAAAGTAAGTGTTTAGGTAGGGACGTTAAAAGTATAGAGTTGACGTAGATCTTCGAAGGAACAAGAAACGCAATCATAAACAGTATTGGCGGACGTTGAATTGTAGTTAGCTTTTCCGTTTGTTATTACTAAATAAAGACTTAATTTAATAAAAATATCACTTGAACGATAAAAATTAATACCGAATTCTAAATGGTTTAAAAGTTTATGAATTATTGTAATTAAAAATTTTCAAAACTAAGAAAACAATTCTTTAAAAATTTATTATCCATCTAATTTTTTTTCTTAAGTCAATATTGTTCATAATATATTATATACATAAAAATCAATTCATTTTCAACAAATGCTGCTCATATTCTACACTGTGTTTCTGATACTTTTGTTTTGGGTTTAAAGTGGAGAAGCTGTACCAATGTTAATGTTGCCCCGTTGAGTTCTTTTTTTTTTATCTATACGCATTTGTTGGCATAAAAAACATTTTGTTCCTTCATGACGTAGACAATAATGCCTCATCAGATATTTCAGTTTTTAAGAATCTTGAAGCGCCCTGACTTATTGTAATAGACATTATATTGATTTCCCTTACAATGACTGTCAGCCACGTCTAGAGGATTCACTTTATCCTTTTTGGTTTTTAACCGCAGTTACGAGGAGATGAGTTATCGTCATGCCTTTAACAAGGGTGTTAGTACGACAGAGAAAAGGACCGGAATTTGAACAAAATTTGCCGATTCCACATCTGCGCCGATACCCGCAACACTACCTGCACATGCTTTTACTTTGTGCTTAACAAACTCCATTTCGAAAGTCATTCAATTAATAGGAATACCATAACGGCAGCGTATCATAGTCTCAAACATGTCATCAGCAATGACATGCTCTTGGTTCAGCGCTGTGAAAAAAAATATATATGACAAACATGGCATAAGGCAATGACCTCCTCTTGCTTCAGTGTTGTGAAAAAAA